AGGCGCACCTAATAAAATAAAATAAAAATAATTTACAAAATAAATTGATCAAAATACCCCCTAAAACATTTCGAGGGTATTTTGATCAATTTATATTTTTTGAATTATTTTTAAAATATTTTTATTAGATTCTAATATTTTTTAAGTATAGACACTTAAAATTTCAAATGATTTGGATTTGTATGAAAAAAAAAAAAATCAAATACAAAATGAAGTCGTGACCATTGGATTGGGCCCAGATTCATTCTGGGCTATTGACTGACACTATAGATGTCAGCCCGTGGGCTGACATGATCTTTTCCATATATATATATAAAAGGGTGTGAATGGTAAAACTTACTTAATAGTGCCTTGTTCTTTATTCCGCGAATATAAAATAAGTAACGGCATAGTTGTTATTGGGGAAGGGTACTTGTGATATTTGTACTAAAAGATAAAGGGCATGTTTGTCATCTTGAACATTTTTAAAATATTTAATAAAAGACAAGGGCCTTTATGGTAATAAAGCTCTTAGAATTTTACATCATAATTAATCTTGTCTTTCAGTAAAAATATAAACAATACCTTCTCAAATGACAAAAGTGTATTTACCCATTTTATAGCATTGAAATAAAGAAAATGACAACTAAAGCAATTTTAAAAATATACATCAAGGAAAAACCTTAAAAACGCCTATAAGCGAAATGCTACAGTACTTCGCCACCGCCACGGACTTGCTTTGTCCATGGCGGTTTATTGAACAGACCTGCAACGGACGGTGCACCGTCCGTTATGGTTCCATGTCATTTTTTGACCGTCACGGACCTAGTATGTCCATGATGTTACTGCCGCAGACATGCTACGTTTGTGGCGATCGAAAAATACACGTTGCCTAATTTTTTCGGACGGTGATGAGTCTATGGACAAAAACACTATTCATTTTCGCCCATAGGCATTGCGTAGTGTCTTCCTTCTCTAAATGTAACTTATAGAACTTGGTTCGGTGTGAACTATAAAAAAAAAATCCATAGTATGTGTGTGTTTTACAGAATAAGAAAGAATGTTATACAAACACATTTTTAAATTTGTTGTGATGGTATGAAACCGTAGGCCGATGGCAAGCTAGAGGATTCTTTGGTATCCGATGAAGGGAAATATGGAGGCGTTCGAAATGATCAACGCACCAGTAAAGGGATGCTTTTGGGCATTGGTCAAGTGAGTTTGTCGTAAATAGTTGCATGGCTCAATTTTCTAATGTTAATATAAAATCTAGAAATTATGGTATACTCAATGATTATTTTTTTGATATTTTTAAGCTCCATTTGCACATAGCACCAATTCAATATTGAATTGCATCCATTGTTATAACAATGAATAGTGGAAAAACATATATTTCTTTTTTCAACATTACCAACAAATTTGGGTGTTGTGATGCATTCTTTTACTAAACAAATCCACAAAACAAGAGCTAAGCATGAATAAGCTCATGTGGACCAAACTGGGATGCAACCTACTACTTTTTACTCAAATTGAGGAAGTGACAATTGTCCAATCGGACCCTTAACAAATATCCATTAATTTAGATTATTTTCAAAAGATTTTTTTACAAAATCCCTCTTCTATGTTTGAATTTAGATTCATGTCAAGTTGTTCCCCTGAGTTTAAAGTAAATCTTAGCTTGTTACTTGAAGACACTTAGTATGCCTCTTGACGTTTGTGGTATCAGGTTTATTGGTAACCTTAAACTATCTGAAATAGAGATCATGATATATATACAACTTCTTAAAATCGCATCCATATCTTTGTAGAGACTAGAGAGACACAATCTATTGACAAATACATTAAAATGTGGAAGTATTAGTCAATGTTATACATTAATATATGCAAAGTATTGTGTTCGGATCATGGGAGTACAGGAGCCCCATGAACAATGTTTTGAAATTGTGTTTGATTTGCACCAACACAGCTGAGAAATGGTCTTGGAGAGCCTCAGCGTCAGATGTTCTCATTACTAGTTTTCTTTGAGAATGTTTTAAAACTTAGAAAAAGGAACGGTTCTACAAAAAATGGAACTATTAGGAATGTTTTTGGAATCATGATACAAGAGTTGTACACTCAAAAGACCCAAAACTTAGACCTCAAGGATACTCTCAGAAGATATGTCTCGAGCCAACATCAAGTTGTTATATACTTGATAAACAATTGTTGATAAAATACCAATGAACATGTTTCATAACATATTTGCAAGATGCATTATAAATGTAGTAACGAGATGAAGAAAAACTACGACTTGCCATAGTAGGCCCCAATATGCCTTAAAAGTAGTTTGTTATTGAATACATCTTGACGACTGATTGATGATAAAAGACCTCAAATAATCATGATATAAAACTAAACTCTACGACTTATTATATTCTTATGGCCTCTATATGCGTCTCCATACGATATTGGAGGAGCTTGAATTATCTTTGATGTATCATCAAATCCATCGTTCTTCAAAGATGAGTTGATAGCCAACCCTATGAAACCTCATATATCATATTAAAATAAGTTAAAACTTTGCAGATATTCTTAATGAGGCCTTTAGTGCCTTTGGTCCGAGAATCATACAAATTGGACACCATTTGGCACAATATATAGATCTTTCAGTTGCTAAGATATACCCTGTCCTCTAGTTCCCTCATGATATACAAGAATTGATCCAAATACTTTTGAAAAATCATATTTGAGTTTTCCCAAAGTTTCAGTTATTTGGAGATGATTTGGCCCCTGATATGTTCCCATCGAAAACTAAGACTCATATTTGTCGTCTGTCAGGGACATATTTTGCAGCTAAGAAGATCTCCAGTTACTAAAATTGAGATTCCACCCAATCTATAAGGAGTTTCTCATGGGAATTAGACCATTGAATTCTTGGCTCAAAGGCCTATCAACCATGGGAGGGCAGTATCCTAAAGGATCTCTCATGTGAAAGCAGTTTGAGCTGCACATAAGTCATAAAGTTGTGCTAAAGCTTGACCACGGGTCCTAAATATCCTAAGATATGGTGTGCTTTGGTCTCAGATTTGTGGAGGTGTACATTACGAGCCCCTTACAAGATTATCAAGTTCCTAATGTCTATATTCCCCTAAGAAGAAAGTAATTAGACCCCCAATGTTCAGATCTGCTGTTAAAATCTTTAGGAGAAATTGGTTATCTTCAACGAGCTATACCCCTATTATTGATCCATTTGGGGTGAGATTTGGATGGCTGGGTTTATTTTTTAATCCTCTATTATCATACAAAATTTCAAGCCAAAAGGACTTAGTATTAGATAGTGGCATCAATTGGACTCAAACATAGCAGCATTGCTCTCTAGCTTGACTGATGATAGATCCCTAATAATTGATTTCCTCGATTTAATCAAATTCAAATTTTAGAGACTCTATAGTTCAAATGTAATAAAAGCTTATCATCATAATCTCTTGGAGGTATTTTGAATTTAAAATCAAGACTGATGCTTTTATCATGCAACCACCCTGTGAGAGAGTTGGTTCCTCATACAACCACCCTGTGAGCGAGTTGGTTCCGGTGATTAAGCTAGCAATAATAATGCTTTGTTTTTATCATCTCCTAGCCTCTATTTAAGCCCCATTAATGTAGTGGGGAGGGGGGAATTGATCAAATAAAGGAGGGACTTATAGAATTGGTTTTCATGTGATAGAGAAAGAGAGAGTGATGCTACACTAATTCTTACAAACGTAGTAAAGGAGATAGGACCATGATACACCCTTCTTCCGCATGTGAAGACATTCAATATAGAGAAAAAGCTAAGCCACTAACCCTGACACACTTGCAGCTTAGATCTTGAAAAGGAGCTGAATATGGATAGTACCAATGCATATGTTCAGGTATACAAGCATGACATGCCTATTGGTATCGATACTTCCCATTGTTTCTGTATATTTTCTTTCTTGAGGAATTGTATACACCCGAATGAAGGGTGTCCAGCATGTATAAAGTCCTGATGTAAAATGTAGCAGCAATTAAGAGTGCCTAGAATTCCTCTCTAAACCCATTTTATGTTAAAAAAAAATCATTTCTATGAAATTTATGGGCCAATTTGTCCATCTATTTGTTAGTTCTTTAGTTCCTCACATATGTTTTGGAGTCATGATACTATCACTAGAACATTTGGGGTGAGACAAGAACATCATGGGGGAAGATTTGAGATTCTTTCTATTGTATCTGTTTCTTTTTCTAATATCAAATAAGTATAACTCAATGATTCATATCCACTTTGAATTTTATTTTCTAAAATGGAACTTCATTAAAATAAGCCTTAGACTTAAACAATTTAACACTTTACTCTTTTCAACTATCCCAACTCATAGTCATGCGTGTCTTGATAGATGTTTTAAAATTAAGTCAAAAAATATGGGTAAAATATTGGGAAATTATCGCTAATATACCCATATTTTAAAAAAATTGGGAAAAAAAAAACCCAACTTCCCAAAATTTCGCCCACAACCTTTTTCCTCATTTTTGTAAAATTTTGGACGAAACTACCTTTTATGGTAGTCTTTGTACCGTAAAAAGAATTACGGTATTAAAAATACCGTAATATTTAATTTACGGTAATATAGTTACGGTATTGTTTTTCCAAAGAATTACGGTACTTATAGTACTGTATACTTCCAAAATGTTATACAGTATTAAAGTTACCGTAATATGGTATTGTATTTACAAGGACTTACGGTACTCGTAGTACCGTAATAGTTCCAAAATCTTATATGGTAGAAAAGTTACCGTAATTAGCTTCAAAAGCCCTCTAAATTATCGTAATTAGCTCCAAAAAACCATTAACATCATGCATTTTCACAATTCCTCCAAATAAATGAAGAAAATCACACTTTCCCAAGTTACTTGGAATACATAGTTGGGGATAGTTGGGGATATAAACCAAAGGTCTCGTCATTTCAGTGATTGGAGTGCTTTAATACCAATGCTCCAAATCATTTCCGATGCTCTGCCAATCCTTATTTCGAGAACTATTTAGCTCCCAAGTGCATCAGCAGAATTCTCCGCTTCTTCTCTTCTTCTTTTTTCTATGCAAATCTCCCCTTCTACTAATTGGTTGAGCTTAGATGATTGCATAAATCCTACTGGAAGAGAGGTTTATAATGGAATGGCCAAATCACCACCTAAGTGGCCACTTTAGTTTATCATTCACATACTCATGCACCTCATTAAAATAATTTCTGAGAAGCACCTGACATTCCTCCCTAATTTTTCCTGAAAATGAAGTTTGGATTTTCTAAATATCCAAATTACATGGACTAATATTTTTAGGTGGTGATTGCACCTTGGATAATTTGCTCTTCTTGAAGATGGATTTTCAATCGAAGGACCTAGCCACCTTGGATAATGTGAAAATACATTTATTTAGAGGGCTTTTGAAGCTAATTACGGTAACTTTTCTACCGTATAAGGTTTTGGAACTATTACGGTACTACGAGTACCGTAATTCCTTATAAATATAATATGGTATCCATATTACGGTAACTTTAATACCGTATAGCATTTTGGAAGTATTACGGTACTACGAGTATTGTAATTCTTTGTAAAAACAATACGATAAATATATTACCGTAAACTAAACATTACGGTATTTTTAATACCATAATTCTTTTTACGGTAAAAAAACTACTGTTAAGGGTAGTTTCGTCCAAAATTTCGTGAAAATGAGGAAATAGGGTGTGGGCGAGGTTTTGGGAAGTTAGACATTTTTTTCCAATTTCTTTAAAATATAGGTATATTAGCGATAATTTCTCTAAAATATTACATAATTAATATCTTATATTTAAAACTGACTATGCAACCTTTGTTTTTTGTTTTTGTTTCTTCAAATTGTCGTGTACCATGGCATCATCCATTCATTTACTAGACCCCATTATATTTTTAGGCAGTATAAGTAAAACCATAAAGGATAACTCCTTAACTTATAGCATAGATATATGTGAATGTTAAAATGCATGTAATATTGATGCACTATTGGACTTGTGTGTTGAGCAATCTTGTTGGTCTATAATCTTATGTAAATAAAGAGAATGTTACATGTTACATAGAAAATGCTCTTTTTATTAATTTGTATAATACATCCAACTTAAGGATGAAACAGTTGCAAGGATTGAAGACAGGATTGCCACCTGGTCACTTATTCCAAAAGGTATAGTGATGGTTAGCTTTTTCTTGGTTCAATTAACAACTTCATTTTCACTCTTGGAATCCTCTTTCTTGAAATCTTTCTTTAAATGTGTCTGTGTTTGTAGATAATGGTGAAGCCATGCAAATATTGCGTTACGAACATGGGCAAAAATATTTACCCCATCATGATTTTTTCGGCAATGGAGGCCAGGACTTTCTCAATGGTGAGCGGGTTGCCACAGTGCTAATGTATTTATCTGATGTAGAAAAGGGAGGTGAAACAGTATTCCCACTTTCTGAGGTATGAGTCATTCTTCATTGGGTGAGGTTTGTATAGAGTGTCAACCTTGTACAATTGAAGTAAGGTGTAACTCAAAATTATGTCGAAAATGCAGTTGTGGTGCCGTAAGGCTTTGTGATGATATGAAAATCTATTGTTGCCTCCAATTAAGAAATTTAAAGTTCCAAAATGGGGACGATCAAGCAGATCTATAAATACTTAAAAATATCGAAAATGGACGGTCCATATAATGTGTTAGAAGATGAACTATTTTTAGGACTAGAGATCCCCTTTTTTCAATTGCATGAATCTTGAGGTTGAGATGATTGATTTGAGGATCTTTTAGCATAAGAACAACATTCGCTAGTGGGTTTTTTAGGTGCATCGTACTTGTATAATATAAGGTTGACGCCTCATATAAACTTTTCCTTCTTCATTTCTTTGAGTGGAAAAAATATCTACTTGATAAATCTTCCTTTTTCCTTGCAGGCTATGTATGTACAACCAAAAGATGATGGTTCATGGTCTGACTGTGCAAAAAGAGGCTATGCAGGTTTGTTGTACAATTTGATGCAGTTTTTTTATTGCTTTAAAATTTTCTCATACAACAGATACACTAAAGGCTCATTTAATAACTAGAAGTTCTACGTACAGAAGCTGGAAGTTCCAGTTTCCTGTAGCACATCCTTGTTTGATATTAGACAGTGCTATAAGAAACTGACTTAGGAAGCTTTGGGTTCTCAAAAACTAAAAACTTGTAGCTTCCATCCCCCCCATAGAAGTTAACATATCCGTTTTTTAGGAAGTTCGCCTCTCACTCTCTACCTTACTTCTTATGTCATTTCTCTCACTCTTTAATTCATTTGACTCTTCAACCATCACTTTCTTTTTCTAAATTCTATCTTTTCAACCATGCCTTTTGTATCTCTAACTAATCTCTCTAATTATATCCCCTCTCTTAATGCACCCCTCGTCTAAGTCTTTGCTCGTCTTTCTCTCTAACTCTCTCTTACCATAGCATTTCTCTCTCTCTAGCCATGCTCTTTCTCTCCTAAACTCCTCTCTGTCAAACTATTCCTCTTCTCTCTCAATTCCTTTCTGTCTACAATCATGCCCTTTCTCTCTCTAACTCCTATCTCAAATAGTGATATTCTCTCTAACTATGACTTCTCACTCTCTTATTGTGCCATTTCTCTCTCTTACTCCATTTTCTCTCTAAATGTGTGCTCTCTCTTTCTATATATTATTTCTTTTCTAAACATGTCCCTTTTCTCTTTCCAAGTCATTTCTCTATCCATGTCCTTTGCCTCTCTAAATGTGCCATTTCTCTCTTAAATCCTCTCTCTAACCATGTGTATGTGTGTATGCGCACGTGTGTGTAGATGTGATGCCTAATTTTGCAATGTTGTGTTAGATCACTATGAAACCTGATCTTTGTAGTTTAAAACTTCCAGACAAGTTATCAAACAGGTATTCTGGAACTTCCAAGTTCTAGGAAATCCCTAGCTTCTAGTTACTAAATGCCCCAAAACAAATTGTGATGCAGGAAATTGGTTTTTTGATTGGTATTTGTTTAATTATTCATCAAAGGTATTTTGGGTTAATAAATTATCTATATTACAAACATAACAAAATAAGTGACATAATTGATTTTTCGGTTGCTGATCCTTCTTCTATAAAGTGAAACCAAAGAAGGGGGATGCAATATTGTTCTTCAGTCTTCAACCCGATGCATCACTCGACACAAGTAGTTTACATGGGAGTTGTCCAGTGATTTCTGGTGTAAAGTGGTCGGCAACAAAGTGGATTCATGTGAGGAGTTACATGACAGATTGGGGGACCTGGTTCAAATTCTAATATGTCAATAAAATTAAGGACGCCTTTTGCAGCTTCCAAGGGGAGTGTGAGCCTACATACTTGGGATGTGGTAGACCTAGACTACTTCTAATGAGTCTTTCCATGTATCCCCAAAGCTTGTTGGAAGACTCTAATCAATAAGAAATAAATAAGAGGTGGTTACGTTTACTGAGGAAGAAACATTTTGTTGGTTCAGCTCTGGTTTTCAGTGATGGAAATTCTAGGTACTCATTGGTAGAGCTTGGTTCACCTCTGGTTTTCAGTGATAGAAATTCTAGGTACTCATTGGTAGAGCTGAGAATTTTTCGGATCGGGTCCAGATCCGAAAAGTATACATTAGATCTGAATCAGATCAGATCTAGAATATCCAGATCAAGATCTAAACTCGGATCGAGCTTAGTTATAGTTTTGTCTATTATATCTAGATATAGAATTTTGTCTATTATACATCGGACCCGTATCCAACTTGAATTACTATTCAGATCTAGATTTTGGATCCAGATATGAATTTCAAATCCAAAACTTGGATCCATACACATATCCAGATAAGATCCAAATTTCGGATTTTGGATCCAGACCCGGTAATTCTCACCCCTACTCATTGGTACCTTATGCATGGAAGGTATTCCTATGAAACAAATGCCCTATAGTTATTGAGATGAACTTTTTAAGAATAATTTTGAGGGAGATTGTTTATGAGTCGAGGGGTCTTTGACCATCAAATGCTCATCTTTAATGGGAGGCATGAAAGGGGAACCAATCAAAATGCAAAATGAATAGTTAAAGGATATCAGTTTTGAACTTACAATTTTATTTTATTTTGCATTTTAATTATCCACATGATTGAAATTATTGATCCCTGAAACCATGGATCCAAAATTCATATTTAAAAGACCAATTTTTGAGGGAGAATGCACATGAATGAGTGAGTCAGCAGACTCACCAAAACCTAGTTCTGATTTTAATTGTTCAAGAAAAACCAAAGGGAAAAGTATATGATGTTGCATGTTATATCCATGAATGTATAAACAAACACTCCGGACCATCCGATGTTATCGACAGATAGTTGTGAGTGCTTAATCTCCATTCAAAGTCCACCATCAGTAATTTTCACAGACTCCAACTGTTTATAGGAACTACACATACAATGGCAATGCAAATATCCTCTATATATAAGAATGAACACATTGTTCACACGGGTGCTTATCGCACAGGAAGTGATTTATTCAGTAGCTAGTTCTGGGGGTAGTGGGGCCTTCCTAAAGCTAGACTTTGAAAAAGCCTACGATAGAGTGAAGTGGGACTATCTAGACGATATCTTGAGACTAATGGGCGTTGGAGTTAGATGGAGAGGATGGATTACGGGTTGCTTAGCTACGACTCATGTCTCCGTCCTTCTCAGCAGAAAGTCATGTGGTTACTTCAAAGCTTCGAGAGACCTCAAGCAAGGAGTTTCGCTCTCCCCTTTTCTTTTTACCCTGGTTGACTAATCTATCAGCAAGATACTTGAGTGTCTCAGGTAGCGGCACGGTTAAGGGGCTGCTACCAAGACCGGGGGGCTTTCCCCTAACCCATCTTCAATGTGCCGATGATACCATGCTCATGCTTGAAGCCTCGGACGACAATATTCACAACACTTGGCTTTTCCTTAAATGCTATGAGCATATCTCGGGGGCTAAATTAAATACGGCTAAAACTAGGTTGTTGGGGGTCAACTGTGATGAGGCTCAACTCAATGACTGGGCAATTTGGATGGACTGCCTAATCGATTCATTCCGTACTAAGTACCTCGGTATCCCTTTGTCTGTTACCTCTTTGCCAAGAGCCTAGTGGGATCCTTTAATTAGTCGATTCCAACACAAACTTGATGGGTGGAAGTCCAGATATCTATCTCTGAGGGGGAAGAATCACTCTTATTAAAGCCACCCTTTCAAGCCTGCCCATTTACTACTTATCCCTTTTTAGAGCTTCGCCTTGGGTCATTAAGAAGCTTGAGTCCTTGATGAGGAATTTCATCTAGAGTGGCAATCAACATCGAAAGAAGATTCATCTTCTTAAATGGTCCTCGGTTTGTCTGCCCAAAAAAGGACGCCTGCGTATCAGACATTTTGAGCCAGTAAACGATGCCTTGCTCACTAAATGGTGGTGGCGCCAATCGAGAAATTATGAGCTTCTATGGAAGAACATTATCTTAGAAAAATATGGTAGAGACCTAGGAGGATACAATGATCGTCACTTTCCTGCTAGAGCCAAGGTATCCTGGGTGTGGAAAGGAATTCTCTCGGTGAGGAACTTGTTTCAGGCTTACTGCAGGATGGTAGTCGGGTGTGGCTCGGCAACTAAATTCTAGCATAGCAAATGGCTACTGCAATACCCCCTAAAAGATACTTTTCCAGAGCTTTACCGAAGGTCTACTCAAAAATTTGCTAACGTTGAATCTGTGGTTTCTTTGATTGGCATTTAACCTGTGTGGGATGCAATCCTGGATGTTCGTAGAGTAAATGGGATCGTGAAACAACAATTTATGGTGGCTTTAAACGATTTCTTCTACTACCCTTTCAGGAGGGACAGACTGGTTTGGACTCCTACTCCCAATGGGGCCTTCTCAGTGGCATCCCTTTATGACATTCTATACCATGATCGTCATTTTGACGTCAACTGCAAGATTGTGACCTTTTAGAAATGGAAAGCCCCGCATTGTGTCAAGGCTTTCTTGTTGTCCTCTGACGATAGATCAGCTTCGCAAGAGAGGTATGATCATCCCTTCTGTGAGCATTCTTTGTCAAGAGATGAAGAGATGCTAGACCACCTTTTTTTGCACTTTACTTTGACACATACAATTTGGAATTGGGCCCTTAAAGCAGCGGGTTTCTCTTGGATCCCACACTCCTTTATAGATGGCACTCTCCTGCAAATCTGGACCACCCCCTCTCCTTTCTCCTGGTTTGACTCTGTGGAGGATTTTCTTGGCTGCAGTGATTTGGACTATTTGGAAAGAAATAAACCATCACTCCTTCGAAGGAAAAAAGGAAAATTTTGTTCAAATCATTAGAACCTCTCAAATGGTGTTGGTCCATTGGGGATCTGTAGTAGGGCCCTTTTGTTCAATTCCGAAGGAGAATTTCTTCACTCATCTTAAGGAACTTCTCATCTTCAGGAAGCAGAAACCATCTCGAAGTGCCTTTTGGGTGAGACCACCTTCCGGTTGGCTCAATCTAAGTGTCGACAGCAGTCTTAGGCCTCAAGAAGGCTTAGCAGGTTATGGTGATATGCTCTGTAACTCCAATGGAGAGGTTTTATGGTAATATCAAGGAAGATCCCATATTTGCGACATTAGCGAGATTGAGTTAAGGGATCTGAAAGAAGGGATTCTAAAACTACAACCTCGAGATGCTAGAAGCATTATTGAGGGGGACTCAGCCAATGTCATATCCAGGTGCAGAAATCCAGACTTGGTTCCATGGGCCTTAACGTCCACCATGGATATCGTTGTCTCAAGGCTACAAGGCAGGGAAGTGGCCTTTCACCACATCTTTCGTGATTGTAACATGGAGGTAGTAGCTTTGTTGTAACCAGGCTCTTTTCGTTCGGGTTGGATTGGCTTTTTGATCTCTTCTTTTCTTTTCCTTTATGTTCTCGTAACTCTTCATTTTCTCAATGAAATTCTTACCTTTTAAAAAAAAAAGGGAAAAAAGAGAACATTGTTCACGCACAACATGAACAAAGAAATGGGTACGGGGATATTTTTTGTTCAAATTTTTTGCAGATCATCATTGTTTTACCTAGTGGACAATTCCAAAGAAAGAAAGAAAAAGGTTGTAAGGCATCCACCTTAAATAGTCTCTGGAACTAGAATTTGGCCCAGGCTTTATAGAAGAGTGCAGTTCACATAAGCCATCCACCCTTAAACAGTCAAAGTATGTTGCGCCTACAAACCTTGCCAAAAAATGCACTTACGAGGTGCTAAACACCCTTACAATGGCCTTAAATTTTATTTCCACATTTAGTTATGAAATTCCTATTTAGTATTTTGATTTAAGTCCTTTCTCTATAAGAGGTGGAATAGAATATTCAAGTTGAAGCATAATGATCATATGTGGATAATCATTATGTCCCATAATAGGTTCCATTCTTCTATCCTTTCTTGAGACTAGGAGTCGATGACCATTCATAACTATTACCTTGACACCAAAGAAGTGTTTGATCCAATGCTTTATTTTATATCCTAGTTGATCCTGATTCGACATTAGAAGTATTGCCAAAAGGTGCCATGTTTTGGGGTGCCAAACACCATTACGATGGCCTGAAATTCTATTTCCACTCCTAGTTATGAAATTCCAAGTAGGGTTGGCGTTGGGCTGGTTGGCTTTGGCTCGGGCCAAAAAAACTAATGCTTGCACCATAAAATGTGGCCAGAGAGCTGGGCCAGGGCTAGGCCACCACATCCTGAGGGCAGGGTTGGGCTGAGCCTGGGTTAAATCCGCGACAAGGCTTGCCCGACCCAATTTACCCAAATTTTTTTTTATTGTCTTAATACTTACTTTTGTTTTACTTTTATTGTATATCGCATGACCCTAATTGGCCTTGACAAGGCCAAAGCCAGGGCTTCTTCAGCCGTATCAAGGCTAGGCCAAGCTTGGGCCGGCTCTATAAGGACTAGGGCAAGTTTGGTCCAGCCCAAACCCAACATGTTTGCACCCCTGATTTCAACTCCAAAAATCTTGCAAATCAAGCTAATCTATAAAAATTAAAAATTAAGACACACCATTTATGACTTCAAATCCCCTTTTCATGTCCATACATATCGTAGTCAAGAAGAAGAAGATCAAATGAAGAAACAACCTTTTCTATTGGGTTTTTGAAGCACATGCTACTTCTAAAGTATAAGTTTGAAAGCAAAACGTGATATAAACTCACTTCTTTGTGTGGATTATGCACATACTGATATCTTGATGGGCGTAGGCTTTATTTGTGGATATGGAGTTTTACTTTAAGTGTAAAGTAAAAGTGAGCGAATGTTTTGAAGGTAATGCTTATCACACTTCTTCTTGACCCTAAATACATAATAACATGTGAAAATTTCTAATGTGCTACTAAAAACCTTGATTGGATTATCTATCAAATAGATTGTCTAGAGTCGATTTTGTAGCGGGCATCTTCTTCGAAAATTTCTTTAAGCTCTAACTCATTTTATTTCGTCTGTTAATTTTTAGGTCAAATAATTCTCTTAAGATTGTTTATTGCTTCATACTTCTATTTTAATTCTACAATCTAAAATGAGATCAGAGATCTCTTAAAATCAATCAAGTAAAAATCTACATTTTACAAGCCAAATATATGCCAAGCACCTAAATTTTTTTTAAAAAGTTAATCTTTAAATAAATAAATTGATCAAAATACAATCATAATATAAATGAAATGTATGCGATAAGACCATTTATTTTTAATATAAGTTAACTACAATTATTATCGACCATTAGATATGAAATTGAGTGGTTGGGATACTGTCGTATGTGTTTCAAATTTTCATACTTTATTTGCCAAAAATCAACCCGTCGGGTTTAGAGTTTCCACACATAACAAGTAGTATCAGAGTTCAACAAGTAGTATCAGAGCCTAGTTTGGGGTTTTCAGTAGGTAGTAAAGATTTTGAATAACAACTGGTATCAGAGCCTGTTTTGGGGTTTCCGTATGGCAGTTTCGAATGCAAAGTTCGAGGTGGAGAAATTTGATGGCAAACATTATTTTTCAACAAGAATTATGAAAAAATTTATTTGGAAAAAGATAAAGAATTTATTAAGCTATCCAATGAATGTTGGCATGGGGAGTAGGTGATTTTGATATCAAGGTGGAGATTATTGAATTTAATGCTATCCAAAATCACCCATATATAGAAATCCCATATTATGTGGGATTGAGAGAGGGGGCAGGGCCTCATGTTCTTGAGATGCAAGATTTCTTCTTAAAGAGAAGGGAACTTCCTATTAATAGAAACATTGTGATGGTGTCTCTTGTAGACTCTCGAAGATTGAGAGGCTTGTTTCTTGTAGAGAAGCGGTTTCCATAGTGATTTTGAGTTGTTTACCCTTTTAATTAGAGGGAAAGCCAATTTCTTGTTGCTCTCACGTCTCTATCTGGTGTTGTCAATAATGGTTGCCAGAAGTAAAGAGAAGGAATGGAGAGTGGTTTAAAAGAGTTTGCTCAATTGGGTTTTATCGAGGTTTAAAGATGTAACTTTTTGTTCCAAAAATCTTTCTTTGATGCAACTTTTATTGGTATAATGGATTTCAGTTTGTCATGCCCGTGGATATAGCCCTTCTGGGGTGAACCACGAAAATCTTTGTTTTCTTGTCGTATGTATTTCATGTTTTATTTCTCGTACTTTATTTGTTAAAAATTAACCCATCGATTTTAGAGCTTCCGTGCATAACAAGTGGTATCAGAGTTCAACAAGTAATATCAAAGCTTGGTTTGGGGTTTTCAGTAGGTAATAAAGGTTTTGAATAACAAGTGGTATTAGAGCCTGTTTTGGGGTTTTCTGTATGCCAGTTTCGAATGCAAAGTTCGAGGTGGAGAAATTTAACGGCAAACACTATTTTTCAACAAGAATTATGTAAAAATTTATTTGAAAAAAGATAGAGAATTTATAAAGCTATTGCTAGTATGTGATTTTGATATCAAGGTGGAGACTGTTGGATTTAGTGCTATCCAAAATCACCCACATAAGGAAATCTCATATTATGTGGGATTGAGAGAGGGAAGTAGGGCCTCCTGTTTTTAAGATGCAAGATTTTCTCTTAGAGAGAAAAGAACTTTTGATTGAAAGAAACATTGTGATGGTCTCTCTTATAGACTCTTTTGATTGAAAAGCTTTTTTTTGTAGAGAAGCGGTTTCCACAGTGATTTTGAGTTGTTTACCCTTGTAGTTAGAGAGAAAGGCAATTTCTCGTTGCTCTGACGTCTCTATCTGGTGTTGTCAATAATAGTTGACAGAAGTAAAGAGAAGGAATGGAGAGTGGTTTAAAAGAGTTTGCTTGATTGGATTTTGTCGAAATTTAGAGATGTAACTCTTTGTTCTAAAATCTTTGATGTAACTTTCATTGGTATAGTGGATTTCAGATTATCATGCCCGTGGATGTAACCCTTCTAGGGCAAACTATATAAATCTTTGTGTTCTTGTTATATGTGCTTCATGTTTTATTTCTTGGGTTTAGAGCTTCCACGTACAACAAGTGGTATCAGATCTCAACATTTGATTGAGTGGGCACAAAGTACATAATAAAATTTATCAAATTGTATGGCACAGCTTATGCTATCGAATTTCACGCCTGACGGTTAAGGGTGACTGGATCACAATATTGATTGCCTCTTGGCCTAAATTGGGAAGCAGCAGCCCTAGCACAACAACAGCAGCATCAAGAGCTGGAGGTTTTTTGAATGCTGATGTTTTAGATCCACTCAAGAATTAAGCAAGAGAACCTGATGACTAGCATAGCAACAGTAGAATCAAGGGTTGGAGGTTTTTTAAATGCGGGTGTTTTAGATCCACTCAAGAATTAAGCAAGAGAACATCTACAAGGTCTGAAAGTGAAAACTCTACTAGTAAGGGGCCCCTGATTGCACATAGACTTCTTATTGCTGCATAAAAAATCTGCAATAATTTTCAAATGATAAAGTAACTGAGAATAAAGTAATTCCATAATAGAGATACCCAATCACCTTGAGGTTTCAGTTATATACTTCCTCTCTATATCTTCTACAATCTTAGTAGGAAACTAATAAATTATAGGAATTTAAAATATAGTAAGAGAAATTACAAGAGACTATCTTGGAAGGTAGAGGTGAAAGATTACCTTTCTTTCCAAATTATAGAAGCCTTGATACCCTCTCATCTTCAACGGAGTAATAACTTCAACCCAAATCAAAACTTAAGAGAGCAAATCATCCTCGGGTATATAATCCACCAAGTGACAACTATCAATCCAAAAATTAACATAAACAAGGACTAACTTGTTGGATTTGATGCTAGCCAAAATCACCCACATAAAGAAATCTCATATTTTGTGGGATTGGTTAAGATTGATCCAGATTATATGAGATTGAGATATTCTCATATTATGTGGGATTGAAATTGATATTGATAAGTTTCCTAGGGGAAATAGAAATCCGAAAGGGATTAGGACCCTTGGATATATATATATTGGTCTTTTGAGATATATGTAGGATCTATAAAAAATTTCCTATTTTAGTATGGATTCTTAACTTTATATATATGGGATGAAAGTGAGAGAATTTATGTGCCCAATTTGAGTCACCATATGCGAATGGTGGTTCCTCTAGAGAGAGAAGGAGATAAAGCCTCATGTGCATAATATACAATTTCTTCTTATAGATAAGAGAGCTTTTTATAAAGAGAAACATTGATGTTGCCTTCTGAATACTCTTGCAGAGTGAGAGGTTGGTTTATTGTAGAGAAGCGATTCTCATTGAGATTTTGGCGTGTTTCCCAATTTAGTTAAAGAGAAAGACAGTTTTTCGTTGCTCTCGCGTCTCTATCGGTGTTTTTGTTGGTAATGGTTGCCAGAAGCACAGAGAAGGAATGGAGAGTTATTTAAAAAGGTTTGCTCAACTTGGGTTTTTACCGAGGTTTGTTCCAAAACTTTGATGTAACTTTCATTGGTGTAGTAGATTTCAGCTTACTGTGCCCGTGGATGTAGCCCTTTTGGGGTGAACCACTTAAATATTTGTGTTCTTGTGTTATATTTTTTATGATTTATTTCTCATACATTATTTGCCAAAAATCAACCCGTATGGTTTAGAGCTTTCGCGCACAACAAGTGGTATCAGAGCATAATGTAACTAACATTAAATCATTACATCATTCGAAAGTTTCATTCATAACAAGACTATATTGGATCCATAAGAAAAGCAATAACAATTCATGAAATAACCTTAACTACTTATCACACAAATAAATGAATAAATAAAAACAAAAACTTGCACCACGGACAATTCTCGCACATAAAATATAGCTTAAATTGGACCAAAAGAATGAGAAGGTTTAGGTATTGGAATTTGTAATCTCATTCACTTAGCTCTGATACCAATATAGATGTGCATAAGGAAACAACATAAGGAAACAACATAAGATAAACAGACAATTAACACAAGGAGTAAACACAAAGAATAAAATAAACAAATGCACACCGAATATCTATGAACTAAGATAAGATAAGGATCTTACAAGCAGAGATCTTACAAGTAGAAGTAAGAATCTTACAAGCAGAAGTAAGAATCTTACAAGCAGAAGTAGAAATAAGAAGAAGTAGAAATAAGAAGAAGCACATCAAAAGCAGAAAACTAACCTGAAAGGCTCTAAGTAGCGCTTTGCTGTTACAACTGACTAAAACATCCCTATTTAGGCACCAGACTTGAAATCCAGATTCCAAAACATAATAAAATAAGACAGCTGGCCAGGACAGGTGGCCATTATGAACAGTAAAAAGTTGATGTACAGTGGACAGTTGGCCGACATGAACAGTGTACAGGTGGCCGACATGAACAATGAACAGTGGACAGGTGGCCGACATGAATAATATTGAACAGTGTTACCGACATAATGTGTTGAACAGTATTGCCCACAGAATAGTGTTGAACAGTGTTGCCGACAGAATAGTTTTGAACAGTTTTTTTTCAATCAGTGTCATAATTCAGGGGGTAACCATCAGAATCGTAGCTTGGTGGAGAAGGGTTGGAAGGGCTGTGTGAGGGTTCAATGTATGTATCATCACTGGAACTATCTGTTTGTATTTTTGCAGGAGGAGGATGATCTGCAAGCCATATGTGCAACTGGTGTAGCAGTGCAGCTCTTCGGGGAGTTTCATCATTCCAAACTGTGGTTCCTGTATAAACATCCAAAGGAATCCAATCTGGCTAGATTCTGTTAATGTAGCACATGAGAATTTTTAACTCTTTCCATAATTCTGTCTGAAATATCCAAAAATTCAGCAGATTAGAATCATACCATCTAATTGTTTGGATCAGAGAATGTTGGGTGAAATAGGTATGTTCTGGATAAATTTGAGGTTCAAGGTTTTGATGGAAAGCTATAATGATATAAGGTCGGTGAGGATAACCAAAGGATTCAATCCATTGATTATAATGATAATGCTTTAAAAAGTATTTATAGAAGTTGAATGCTCTAGGATTGGGGTAGATGTAATTATTCCATTTTAGGAAATGACAGTGTGTGAGGTAAGAAAGTAATTTTCTTACATGAAAATTAAAACATATATGGTGGTTTTGGGTAAGATACCAGAGAAAACAAATAGCTTCTTTTGGCATATTATAATAATGTCTGGTTTGGAATAGGGATAAAAATGGATAGGTAGGATAGCATCGAATTCTTTGAAAACATTCTCCATGATTTCTGATTAATATTTCATACATTTTTTGTTGCATGTTCTCATTTCTGGATTCCATTGTTTTTCTAAGAATGATGCCGTATATTTCATCAAGAACTTCTTTTGTTTCTTCCTCTATTCGGATAATTGCTCCTATGAAAGAAATAATTGAAAGACTTGTTTCTTCAGAAAATTTTCTTCGAGAAAACATATCTGCCAAAATATTGTTCTTTCCAGAAATATGTTTATCCTCAAAATTCCATTGAGAAAACCAATTTGACCATCTAAGTAATTGAGGATTCGGAAGAATCTTTTTTTGAATTTCAGCATATTTGGAAAAACAGATGAGTCCATTTCAACAAGGAAAGTATGTCCTATCAAATGAAATTGGAATTTTCAATTTCTCTTTTTACTGCGAGGATTTCTTTGAATGTTGAATGGTAATGAAGTTCAGATTCTTTGACCTTTCCACTTTTGTATCCACAAATCATTATGTTTTTATCTTTTTCTTCAAGTAAAATACATGCTCAAAATTCATCAGAAGCATCTGTTTGAAAAATTCTTTTTCCTGTAGAGGGGATTTTTAAATAAGGTAAATTTTAAGATAATCTTTTAAGCTCTTGAACACACTCACTCTGTTTTCTTGTCCATGGTGGTGCTTTTTTCTTTAGCAAAAGATAAAGAGGACTAGTAAATAACAAAAGTTTTGGAATGAAAGGAGACATATAATTTACAATTCCTAAAAATTGTTCAATTTCTTTTATAGAAGATAAAGTATCTGGAAATTCTAACAAGTGTTTGGCAATATGAGGCTGAAGTTTATATATTCCATTGTGGAAATGCATACCAAGGAAATCAATTTCTGTAGTAGCAAAGACACATTTCTTTTCAGAAAGCATAATACCATATTTACAACAGAGGGAGTGGAATTTGTCTAACAGAAGAATATGACTATCAAGATCAGGAAAAAAGAGAAGTATGTCATCTATATATATCAAAGCCTGTGTTGAGATTGGTTCAATAATGGTGGTTAAAATTTTTTGAAAATATATGGGTGCATTTTTCAAACCAAAAGGCAGAACTGTCTATTAAAAATGCTAATTTGGTAAACAAAATGTTGTTTTAGGACGATCATCTGGGTGAATTCCTATTTGTCAAAATCCTGATTTCAAATCAAATTTGGAAAATATGAGAACATGAGAAATCTGATAAAATAGTGCAATTTGATTAAGCAAAGGGAATTTATCATCAGAGAGGAAAGTATTCAAAGGTTGGTAATTGATCACTAACCTAAGTTTTCTTCGAATTTATTCAGCTCTTTTATTTACATAAAAAGCTTCACAAGCCCAAGGAGAATTGGTTAGCTCAATTAACTGTTCTTTTATCAAGTCTTGTATCTCTAGCTTAGCTTGTTCCAAAAGATTTGGAATTAAACGTTTGTGAGAAGCCTTTGTGGGATTTATGTCTTCATTTTTCTTAAAAGGCAACTTAATATAAAAATTCTGGTTTCTCCAAAGTGGGTTGGTACATTTTTTGAGAAACTCAGAGTGGGAATTGGCACAACAGTCTGATATAATTTTTTTTTTTACGGTTTCTAGGGTGCAAGGTTGGTCTATACAAGCTATCTAGGGTAAAGTCAGGTTTCTATAATGTAATCCTTTGGAGGTCCATTGAAGTTTTACTTAATGTAAAACATCAAATCCAAGTAAAAGTTCTTTATTGGGCAAATAGGATCCTAATAATTTATGTTGGATAACTAGTTTTGGAAACAGTTTTATCAAAATAGGTTTGCTAATCTGGTTTATGGTAATTTTTTCTCTATTCGCAGCTCGAAAAGTTTGGTTACATGTTTCCCAAAACTGTTTTGGTAGCAAATCAGGTTTCAAAATACTAGCAGATGCACCTGTATAAAAAAATGCTGGTATGGTCAAAGGCTTGGAATAGTGTTTTTGAACTATCTAGACGAGGGCCATTGGGGTAGGCTGGTAGGGTAGACTGTTTATGTCTGAAATTTCATCCTGTGGAGACAATATCTCTAGCATCTCTGGAACAAGGGTGGTGCTTATCTCATTTAGCTCATGATCAGCAGAATAAGAAATGGAGATCAATGTTTCAAGGCTTTGTTCATCATCAAGAGAAAATACAGATTCTAAATCATCATCAATTTCTTCTTCTAAAACTTGTGTTAAAAAGTTTATGATCTTTTTTTTTTTTTTCTGATTTGGGCATTCCTTTGCAAAGTGTCCTTTCCTTCAACAAACATAGCATCTATCCCCTTTCTTGTGTCTTCGGAATCTTGATCTTCGAAGATATTTGAATCTTTTAAATTTTTTCTTTTTTCTCTTTTGTTCAACCCTCTTTTTTCCTTTCAAGGCAGGTGGACACACATACTGTTTTTCTGCATCACATATAATCTTGAGATATGGTTTATCACAAGATTTTCCCAGTAAATACTTATTTTTTTCCATTTGTTTCACAAATTCAACTTGGTTGCAGAGTCCTTCTAAAGCATGGAGAACAAACTGATATAATTCACCAAAACTGGTGTTTTGAATAGTAAGTCCTTGATTTTTCATTGTCTTTGTTGCTTCTTTACCAAAAGTAGGAGGTATGGATTAAAGATAAAATTGTTTCAAATTGATATCATCAATTCATCCTATTTTATGGTATCTTTTACCAAGAGTAGGAGGTATGGATTAAAGATAAAATTGTTTCAAATTGATATCATCAATTCATCCTATTTTATGGTATCTTTTGTTCATTTCTGAAAAATGTTTTTCAAGATCTTGTCTCTTGAAAGAACAACATTTAAGCTGAAAAAATTCTTCTCTGGCAGCAATTTGTTCATGCTTAACAGGGCCTGATAATTCATAGACCAAATAATTAAGGAATTCAATAATGGACTGACTATTTCTTAACTGTGTTTGTCTATATTCTCCAAGACTTATGTACCAATAAAAAAGGCGTCCTCTTAACCTTACTATGACTTTAGAAATTGTAATGGCTAATGTACTTGCAGGATTAAGCATTTCTGAATGCATCCATCCTTGAATATCTCTAAATCTATCATTCCAACGTGATGGTGGAATGTCGTCAATAGTAAATCCTTTAAATGAATCTCCATAGGTTGGTGTAGGTTGGGGTTCTTAGTGGTCAGGAGGTCTGAATTCTTCTTCCATGACAGGGTTTGGTTCTTGAGGTGTTTCAGGGGGGTTCATCATTAACAAAAAGTCTGAATCTAAAGAAGAAGAGGAAGGTTTATCTTCAAAAGTTTTTGAAGTATCAGACATGTCCTCTGAGGATTGTGTTTCAGTTTGAAGGTTTACTTCAGGTTGTTTGGTCAGGTTGTTGAGAAATGAACTCATATTGTTCATGGGTTCGAAGGTGGTTATTATCTGAGTGGGGACTGAAGAGGCTATAACATCAGGTTCAGAATCGGATAACTGAAACATATGGGTTTCATTTTAAGGTATTTGAGGACTAGTATGAGGTTGAACTGTAACGGGTGGTGAAGTAACAGAAGGTTTAGGTATTGAAATTTGTGAAGAACTAGGTGTTGAAACATTTGGTTTTTTTTTTAGTTGAGGAAAGAACATTTCTTCAGGAAAACGTCTTTCATCTTCAAAAGAACTTAAAGCTTTAAAACCAAAGTGTCTTGGAGGAATTAAACCTGTAGGTGGGTAAATCTAGTAGGTGGGAAAAGATCAGGACTTGTCAAAATAGGATAGCTTTGAGTGTATGGATTTGCAAGCAAGGGTTGAAATTGAAAATGGTATTGTGGCTGAGGGTATTGAGATTTCATCCAAAGATCTTTTTCAAGACTTTGTAATTGTTTTTCTAAAAATGCTTTTTCCTTTCCTTTCTGATTCAATAAATAGAATTGCTCATGAATATCCTTTACTGAATATAAAATCTGCATCAACTCTTCATGCAACAATTGAATCTTTTCTTTCAATTGAACAATTATGCCATCTAATCCCTGTAACTGAGAAGACATAACATTTTTTTTTTCTTCAATTCGAAGTAATGTTAAATTCTGTGATTTAGTATTTTCAGCTTGCCAATTGAGGCTTACTTCAGCTAGAGATATGGACTTTTGTGCTCCAGTGACCTCTCTTGTACATGGATTTTTAATCTTCCATATATGTTTTTTATTTCCTGAATTTTTTCATAATTATGTAATGGAGGAAAATTCGAAGCATAATTTGAACTTTGAGGGTCAAAAGCTAAGCATTCTGGAATGTGATTTTTTCTATCAGATCTTTCATCCTGATCATCCCATCCTGTAGGGACTATTTTTAAAACAGTGTGTCTTGCTTTTTGACTACCATAAGTCACATAATAATCTCATTTTCTTGAACTCTCTCCAAGTAATCCGACAGTTGGATCACCTTCAATATATCTCTGATGAAGCTTTTGATGAGATGAAATTTTCTTTTTGTTTTTCTTTTTTGGTATTTTATCAAAATCATTTTTTAGACCAGAGGAACAATTGCAAGTATCAAACCAATTATGACCATCAGAAGTTTTTTGTTCATAAATTG